CTGCCTCAGGCTGCATATCTGTATATTTACGAATTGCTTCCTTCAATCTTTCTAAAAATGCTGTGGGAGATTCCTTTTTTTCTTGTCTTATATCATACAATTTGGACCAATTTATAGCTTTAGGCATAGCATTTTGGACCCCATATACGATCCACTGTTGGTATCGTTTTAATCTTTGCATATGATCATCCCGATTCGGATCCCACTGGGGGTTACCGATGGGAAAATTTTGATCTATGGTACCATCTACTGTTCTGATGTGAATGTCTTCTGCTCGCATTCTGGCAGTCCTTAAGACCATCTGTTTTTCTGTGGAATCCATAAGGGTATCCAAAATTACTTGTATATCCTCCCAATCTGGATTTTGGGTTTTAATTATCATTCCCATTATTCTTCCAACTTTACCAGGATCTTCCCTGTAAGGGCCAGCTGATTCTTTCCAGATAATTAAATCAGAAGGTGAAAAAGGTACCTTTACATATACTGGCCCATTTTGCCCAACTCCTTGCCTCAGAGGGGCAATTATATTTCTTCCTATTTCTGATCTTAAGGGGGTTATCACACGAGTATGATATCGAGTCCTCCTAGAGACTGGTGGATAGGGCTCTACTTCAATCTCCTCATCCTCCAATCCACTACTATCTGGATGAGGCTGGAGCCCTTCTCTCAAATCAGCACCCTGGGCTGGTTGCCCAGTCGGATGCCTAGGTCCGGAGTCAGGTCCACGTTCAGAAAAAGGCAGTGGAATGGGGGGGTAGATGGGAACTGCAGGAATTATTGGGGCAGTAGGAGCAATATCTAACTCAGGACCTGTTTCTGTATGTCCCCTTCCCCTCAGTGCCAAATGTTTAAAGCACATCTTAGTGGAAGTGCATACGGGGCACCGTTCCTGAACCTTTTTATCCTTTACCATAAGAGACATCACTTGATTAATTAGCCCACATTCTTTTTGCCACTCCGTTTTTTCTCACAGATAAAAGAACAAATCTACATATGGAACCTCATCCCATTTTTCTTCCCTCTTACAAAATAACATTAATTGCAAAATAGTATTATAACTTAAGGTCCCATTCAGGGGCCACATTTCTTCATCTTCTAGTTTATACAATGGCCATTCATGATTACAAAATTCAATAAGTTGACTTTTGCTTAATTCATCATGCATCTCTTTCCAGTGAGCTAAAAGGCAACCTAAGGGAGTATTTCTTGGTATAGAATTCTTATTCCCTTTCCCTTCTTTAAACAGGTTTGAGAGTTTAAATGCCATAGTAAACCGACCGTATACATTCTTTAGTTATTTTTGTTGTTGTTTTTATTTTTTTTTCCTTTTTTTTTTTCCTTTCGCTTCACTTATCTCCGGCTGCACCCCTCGCGGGATAACAGAACCGCGGATCAAAGCTCCACACTCGCTTCATGCGTAATTACACGTCTCAGTCACTCATTCATGCATAAAACCTCAACAACATTTCAACAGCATTTCATTGTTTCCCGTGTTACCAGAGTTACAAAGTTACAAGATTCAGAAGTATAGAAACAAATTACAGAATACAAAAAATACAATTTCCCGTATCAAGACCAGAAAGTACAGACAGATGTGAACACTGAAGTGTTCCCGACCAGATGTATACCAGTGAGGCGCTAGCAACCCCGGTATACGCTGTTCCACGCAAGATCCCCCGTCTCACGATTTATGAACAGCCCAAACCCTCTTCTAATAATCCTTGCCTTATTCCTCGCAGTGACTCAATTGAGATAAGGAGTCCCTCCGGGAAAGTTCCCGGGAGCGCCCAAGAGAGTCCTATTCTCAAGGAGTCCCGCGGGCCCCGCTCCTTTAATTCCCTTTCACCACTTACACTGATGCCAACCCCGAGAAACTTTCGTATTCGCCTTACGGGCAGCGCCGAGGCTTCCCCTGCACAGGAATTCCCTAGCCCCAACCACGCGGAACTTTCGCTCCGTCTGACAGGCAGGCTTTCCACAGATTCAGAAAGAAGTGCCTTACCTTTCCAGGGGACGTTGCGAGGAGCTTTATGGGTCGAGACCGATGGCTCTCCCCGAGAATTCCTCAGTGCCGGCTGGAGTTCAATCAGCGCTCGATCCTGTCCAGGATCATATTGTTGCAATTACCTTAATAAAATAGTTTGAATCCTAGAATATTATTTTGATTTTAGTTTAAAAGTATGATTTTGATTTAACATGAAGCTACAGTAGCTATGAGAATATAAAGTACACTGAGGCCCTTAGGATTAAGCAACTAGTATGCTGTGTGCCTTGAACACTATGAGAATCGTTATGGACTCTGAATTAACACAATAGGTACTGGTTATGGATCTTGACTTGAAACAATAGGTACCTGAGGAAAACTGGTTTGGTTGGGAAGATCGGTCAAGGGAGAGGTGAACATTAACCAAAGGTGGAGTAGAGCATGTGCAAGGATGGAGTTCAATCAGCCGACACAGTGATGAAGACTATCGACGACCACCAGAGGACCCCCTTCCAGTATAACCACGCATGCGTTAGAGACATTTGCATATGATAATAATTTCCAGGAAATAACATGCATATGCTAATCATTGCCCTCCCCCCATTCTATTTAAATCAATTAGTGAGGATGACTAATGATTTCTGTAGAATAGGAATATAGGTAAGGTGAGGTAACTAAAAGCCAATCATTATAAAGGTCAACTTAAGCGTTATGAATTTATGGATCTTATGTAACTATGATTCTGCTGAAAAAGTGTATAAATATGTTGTGCTTTGTACCTGTCGATGAACACGTCTTTGGCGGAGTTATCCCCCATGTTCCCCAGCGCTGGAATAAAGAAGTGCCTGCTTATCTGCTGGGTGTAGATAAGTTCTATTCGCAATTGCGACCGCTAACAGGGAGAGAATTGGAAGGGTGGAAGTCAGGAAGCTCATGGGTTGAGATAAAGACAGCTTAATAGGTAAAGCAAAAGCCACATGCACAAGCAGAGCAAACCAAAGAATTTATTAATGGCTCCCCATGGTCAGGCAGGGGCTCAGCCGTCCCCAGGAGGGCCGGGCTCCGTCACGCGTAACGGTGACTTGGGCAGGGAAACGCCATCACTCCGAGTGTCCCCCGCTTTTTCCTTCTCCCCCCAGTTTTTATTGCTGAACACGATGTTATGTGGTGTGGGATGTCCCTCTGGTCAGTGGGGGTCAGCTGTCCCCGTTGTGTCCCCTCCTGACTCCTTGTGCACCCCCAGTCTCCTCGCTGGTGGGGGGGTGTCAGAAGCAGAAAAGGCCCTGACACCGTGCAAGCACTGCTCAGCAACAGCTAAAGCATTAGTGTGTTATGAGCACTGTTTTGGTTGCGGATCCAAAACACAGCACCATACCAGCTACTATGGAGAAAATTAACTCTATCCCGGCCTAAACCAGTACAAATCTTTATGCAGAACTGAGCAAAACTTGATGCTGTTCAGCTTTGGCCTCTGAGGTGAAACAGGCCAGAAGTGCCGTTGATGTGCTTTTGCATCATTATCTCGTATTTATTTTCTTTACCACAGTGCACTCCCAGACCTGACCCTGTTAGAGACTGAAATACGTAGCATGAAATTGTACCCATACCACAGAATAACTGAGGCTGGAAGGGACCTCAGGAGGTTTCCAGTCTGATCCCAAGCAGGCATTCAGACCAGGTTTTGTCTACTCTGGTCTTCAAAACCTGCAGGGACTGGATGGCACGACATCCCTGGACAACCTGCTGTACTGCCTGGATGTCCTCATGGGGGAAAAGTTTCTCCTTATAGCCAGTCTCAACCTCTCTTGTTTCAATTTATGCCTGTTGCTACTTGTCTTCCCACCCCTCATCATGAGAAGCCTGACCATCTCCTTGATAACCCCTTGTAGGCACTAGAGGGGCTGTTAGGTGCCCCTGAAGGCATCCCTTCTCCAGGCTGAACCAGCCCAGCTGCCCCTGCATCTGCTCATGGGACCAGTGCTCCCATCCCCACCGCCTCAGAGGCCTTCCATGAGCTGCCTCCTCTTTGTCCATGCCCTTCCTGTATTGAAGGGCCCACAACCGGACACACTACCCTAGATGTGGTCCAACAATTGCCAAGTAACTCATCACTTCCCTCTATCTCCCAGCCAAACTTCTGTTAACATAGCCTAAATTGGGAACTTACCCAGTTAAAAAAACAAAACAAAACGAAACAAAACAACAACAAAACCAAAACAACAACAAGACACAAAAAACAACAACAAAAATCCCCATCTTTTTCTCAGGGTTTGTTTTTAAAGACAGATAACTTCCCAAATCCAGTTCACACAGCTGTGCTAGGACTGACTAGCGAAGGAGGGGAAGGGGCAATAACAAAGTTCTAGAGGAAACCAATGCTGTGGGACACTTTGTGTTGAGGAACACCCACCTGGTGTGTATCCCCAGACCCTGGCTTTTATTATGCTCTTCTCTTCCTATGGAAGTAATGTTTTAGTACTTTAAATTTTCTGCCCACAAATGTCCCCATCTAGCAAAACAAACCACCCCACTCCTTATAGTGCAAACAAAATGGGCTACACCATAGGTTTAAATTCATTATTTCGATAAAAGTGGCAGATGTTCAGAATCTCTCAAATGACTCATTTGTGCTTTATGATAGCCAATAAAAATACACCACCTGATCAAATAGTGCCTGTGTATAACAGCAGTGCTGGTTCCACTTCTTTCAGAGTGCTTTGGATTCATCAGTCATCACACTCAATGCCTTAGTAATTTAAGGTAAGAATTAAATCAATAAAATATCCATGATGATTTTAATATCATACTGTTTGGGATGTATATTTTGAAATGCTAGGAAAATATATTATCTTGTGAAAAGGGCAAGCTATTAATTCATGACCCTATTAAAGATGTTATAAATACAAAACGCACAGTTGGATTTGAAAATTGTTGATATTCAGATGATTGATTTCCTTTGAATACAGTTGTAACAAGGCAATGCTACACTACAGCCCAATGAAGTCTAGTGCCTGCTTCAATAAAAAAGGACAAGAAGAATTAATGATTGCAAATTTATTACATGGAACAGCAAATTCCAGACAACCGAGTCACATAATAGACAACCAGTGCAATGGGAATTCTCCTTTCTTTGTATAAACCGAGGCATCGAGCTGGTAAATCGACCCATAAACTTCATATTCCTTGGTATTCTGAAACAAATTAACACAGTATCATATTTTATGTTGAGATGTTGATCTAACTATAACTTAGTATTCAGTTATGTATGTCTGGTCCTTCCCAAAGTTAGAAATAAAATAGCCTCAAATTCCAGCACCAGATTAAGATGGCTGAAAGTTTGAGTAAGTGCCCAGATCTGTTATTTGATCTCAAACACAAATCCTCCCTCCTCACACAGTTCTCTCTGCATCATGTCTTAACTCCACTGTCCTTTTTTTTAGAGGTATGGAGGCATGGTGCGCATCTTGCAGCTGGGCTGGCTCAGGACACTGAGCTGTGGATACAGTTTACTGCTGTATGCAGGGCTAGGGCATCACTAGAGAGTAGTGGCTTTTACAACAGCACTTTAATGAGATCTATTTGACAGTCTAGCAGTTCTGTTAACACCAGAGTACTCTGATGCAAGTTTACTCCAGTTGGTTATGAACTGTTTTGCCCAAAAGCTACAGGAATGCTCTCTCTGTCTTATCTTTGGGGTTGTCAGCTCATGCTTCCAGTTACCCTAAACAGATCTAGGGAGCACTGCCTGTCCCTACCTGCAACAGCTATGAAACATTTCCCACACGCATGTGGGACTAACAACACAGGAACAGCTACAGCGTCTCAGACCAAAGATCCATTTAGTTCCTTATCTTCCCTTCATCCTTCAGAAGCAATGAATGCCCAGGGCAGTGCCTAAGACCAGAGCAAATAGAGAGGCTGATCTACAACACTCTCTCAAGTCTTTAGTTTCTTTCTTCCTGAAATGGTTGAATGCTGAATATACGGCTAAAGTTTTCTTTGCAGTTTTTCTTTCCTATCCTTCTGTTCAAAAAAAAACCACTAAGGCCTTTAATACACTCTTTCAAAGATGGATATGTAAGAGCTACATGATATTATTAGATCTCACTGTCCTCCTTTCTTACATCCCCACCCCTGCTCTTTCTAGTCAATGTTTACCCTAAAAGAGGTCCTAATTCTGATGTGAGAACAACTCCTACCTGCATGTAGAGATCCACATCAGTGGGTTCTCACATAGGATTAGGTGACTGAAAGCCTCTTGTAGCAGAGTCCACATATTTATCAAGGTGAAGGACCTGGCTAGCTTTTGTGTTCCAAGTACAATTTACACCCTCTGTATCTAAACTTTGCAATTTCTGTACCATTTCTATCATTTTGCAGAGGATGAAAGCTCTTCCTTACTTAACCTTAAAGAGGGAAGAAAATAATACTTTTGTCAAGAGCATACACTGTAAGTCTGAGCATGAAAAAAAGCATTTCTGCCCAAAGACCTCTCCGTGACCATATGAAATATCCACATGGCTACATATGTTTGCAGTACTTTTCAGTAACTCCTTCTGTCATAAGGATCATCTTTATTGAAAAGACAGAACAAATTCTTGTCACTTTTAGATGCCTACTTACCATTGCTTTTGATAGTTCTTCCATTTCGAGGCTGAAAAACATAATAATTAGATGGTTGTGCAGAAGGATTAGATGCCAAATTTATAAGCATACCAAAATACATCTCCTATCATGCAGAGTACATAAGAAGGCTGCAGTAAGATTTCCTTTAAAGGGACAACATGTCAAATACCAGGGATCCATGCAGGGTGGGATTTGCTTTTGAATCAGAGATATTAAATCAGCCTCCATCCAAATAGCTAAACAGTCTGTCTTCAACTATTCTTATTAAAGGTCTTGGTCCCAATTCACTGAGGTACTATGTAGATGCCTGAGAAAGAACATATAAATGCCACCATAGAAAGTACCTGGCCAGACACACTTAAGGGATCTAACATGTAAATGACAGCTGAACTGAGGCTCTGGTTACCCGCTACAACCTACATTTAAACTTTTTTTTTAATGTGTTGAAGATATTTCCTAAAAACTAGTTTGGTGTTAATCAGTGTGTCTAAACCAGAATATTTTTCATTACACAGTGCCATAGTTGAGCAAGCCAATGGGTGAAAAACATGAGAGAAATTATGATGTCTATAATTTTGCTTTGGCTTTTCACCTTTATGCAGTATGCCATCCTTTAGTGGCCAAACCTTTCAGACCAAGTGGACATTCAGCTCATGTACATATTTTCTCACAATTTAGCATCAGTGCATCTTGGCAGCCTCAGAGATACAAGCCACATACTACTTCTGTCTTTGGATGATCTGGCTCAAGACAAAACATTTGCAGAGTCACCTCTTCAAATCAAAAAATGTTTAATCCATTACTACCCCAGATCTCATTATCTTGTGGTCTTTTAGTTGAACCAGAGCTTTTAAAGCGAATAATTCCCTAAGCTTTCAAGCAAGGGATATCTGGCCTTTACACAAAACGAGCATAGCAAGAATTTGCGAAGGCAAACCGTTGGATATATATATGGATATATATATATTATATTGTCTGTGATTCAGAATCTTTAGAAAGTAAGAGATTCAGATACCCTGAAAAGGAAAAAAGGCCGTCCCAGAGTCCCATGACTATCCTGTAAAATAAACCACATACCATTAACAAAATACTTTAAACTCAGCTCCATAGGTCTGTTGACAAGTTTCAGTGTCATTCTGTCAGAATATCAATAATTCAAGTCCTTTTTCAACAGCATACAAATGAGATGTTGATAGTCCCCAATGCCCATTCATCTGGACTGCTGATTGAAAATTAATAGCCAAAGGGCATTGTCAAGAAGTATCCATTCTGTCTAGTGTAAATATACTAAATTACCATAACTAAAGATTCAAAGGCTTTAGAAAATGTATAAAAGAAAGCTTAATACATGGTGGATTGCTCTGCAGAAGCAGGGTCAGCACAGCTCTCTTCCCAACCACTGAAAAAACAAGCTGACTTTAAAAAAGCAGCAAAAGAAACAGGGAAAGGGCCGTACTTCCCTGTCCATTGCTACTCGCTTGTCTTCACATTTACATACCTTCTTTGTAAACTTTGTAGCAGCAATCTGTGATTCCTGAAAGTGGACAGTGTAAGTTAATCAAGATGCTGTAATTTCTTTGGTCTGTTACAATAATCCTCCATCACTGATGAGGTTGCTGCACTCCATGTGAGAAGAGAGATGATCTTACACTTATCACAGACCAATGTAAGAATAGCAGCAAATGGATCTTTTTAAAGCTTGATTTTAAACCTTGCTTTATCCAGTGTCACCCCATTTGTTATCATCATTCAACACTCTTCCCTCACTGTGCAGCAAAGCACAGCCGTGCTCTGGGGAGTAAAACAGAGCTCAACCTGGAGCAGAGGCAGCAGCTCCATTCTTCAGGCTTGAATTGTACCCATAGCTCTTACCTTGTTAAAATGTGGCTGCTCTTCACCTTTCAGAATGCCCTTGGTTTTAACCCAGGCATGGTTGCTGTTTTTAAGCCTTCCCTTGCACCCTTTATTCTTCAAGAAATTGCTCGTTTCTCTACTCAGCCTTATAGCAAGGAATAGAAGCTTTCCTCATGACTTCATGCAAATAGACTAAGCTCAATGTCTAACAAAGCCCTGCACCTGCAGTCTGGTGCACGGGCCAGGTTTGGAAGCCCTCCTGCCCATGGCATGGGCTGGCCAGGAACAGGATAGCTCTGTGTGCCGCAGCCACAGTTACATCGGTAAATGGGTTTAGTTACCTGGGGTGGGCTTGAAAAACAAGCATAGATGACGAGCAAGGACATGAAGACAGGGGATGAGCACACAGGAGAATCATGTGGATGGGAAACAGGGAAGGAAGAATTTTAAAAGACAAAATATACAAGCAAGAAGGAGGGAATCATGATTCAGGGAATGAGATGAGGATTTCCTTGGTTCAAGATTCAAGACAATGATTTATAGAGCAACTGACGTCAATTTACAGAGCTATGAAATACTGTGGAAGAAAAAAGTGCTTGCTTGATCAAAGTGCTTTAAAGGATGCAAAGGAGGAGACTACAAAGATAGTGTGATTGCTAGTTCTGTTCCTAGATGATTATTACATACTAAGCAAAGACAGAGACAGATTCATGACTTATCCTGCAGTTTCAAATATCCTAGCTAGTTTGTAACAGGTGAGAGTTTACTATGTGGAAGAAACCTGGGAAAAACTGAGCTTCTAAACAGTGTGTTGGCTTGACTTTAGGATGGAAATTTCAAACTCTCATGGAGGTGACTGCATTGTAGCTGGGTGTAGATAGCTCTTTTTGATTCCTTTGAAAGTACCATCTGCAAGATTTACCCAAAGATTAGACACTGAAGTTAAATAGTGTATTAGTTCTCTCAAAAGATTAAGTTCCCCGGATGGAGTTCAAGTCTCATTGATGCCCAGATTGCCACTGACTTTGACTTTCATAGTGCTGAGGCCTCATTCCTTCTCTTGAAACACCATCTACGTCCTCTACATAATCTGTAATTCTGACTGAATCATTTAAAAAAAAAAATCCACACAAATATAGGCTCATGTAGAAAGCTGAAATCCAGCTGAATCAGTAGGATTTCATAACTGTTTCACTGTGTGTACCACATAGATTCATGTCTGCAGTGTCTTCTCAAATGGTGGGCTGAGAAAGTACAACTTCATGCAATACAAGATTTGACCAGCTATGTAAAACTCTGCAAATTTTGTATTGCTCTCCTTCTGTATTTCACATTTATACTTGATCTGCCACTTAATCAGACCACAGATAGAAAACAAGTTGCAGATACGTAGCTGATATTAGTCATATCTCTTGAAAGAATACCATATGAGATTAAGCTCTCAGTCTTGAGGACGCATAACAGAGGGTGAATTTTTTGCAAGGTTAGTAACTAGAACAGTAACCAGGAATAGGGCTTCTTTCAGTTACCAGATGATGCTGGATGTCCCCTCATTAGCTAAACTGCAGAAGCATAGGAGTCAATGCTGAACTCAAAAACATTTAAGACTGAAATGCTGGATTTTTTTATACACAATCATCTTCAGTATTGTAGAGTTTTATGGCTGGTTTAGGAAAGCACACTTGGAATTATAAAAGACACTAGCAAGAAGAGATATTGAAATACATGTAAAATACTTTTTATTACTGTCTTGAAGGCTCTACTCATGATTTGAAACAGAGGACTCAAACTCCACAAGTAAGCTGGCCTTTTTAAGATACCAAGGGACTGAGTTAATTTTATGGGAAAGGCTCTTAAACTGGCAATATTAAAAAAGTGATATAAAGCAGAATTGACATAGGTCCTAGTATGACTGCACCAATGAGGAAGAGCTATACTAAATCATCCCTCAACTTAATCGTTTGGATCTTAGTCAGAAACACAAAAAACTAAGCTCAAATAGAGTATTCAAATCAGTAAAGCAACTCATATGCCTCCACATTCAGCATGATCTTAAGTATGCTATGTATATTTTTAGCATATTTAGCCCTGTATTATTCAAAAGTGAGGGTCAGGTTAAAATACTGGCCCTTGCTGTAAATAGATGGTTTGGTTCTTGAGCTCCAAGTTGGTGAAAACCAGCAATTTCATACATAATTTAGTGGAGTTAATAATTACAGGCAAACTACTAGTGAGAAGAAAGAATCTTTTGTATGTTCTCCTACCCTACATCTCCTAAACCATGATGATACTAGATTATACATTATTGTTTAGAGAGAAATGTCAAAAAGTTGGTTTTGGAGGGGATGCTGTGAAATAAAAGCAGCAATTACACCTTACCTCATTTGTATGCATGCTGTTGAATATGGAATAACAGAGATCCAAAACAGTGCTGGAGATCTGCAAAACAAAACTGTATTTTAATACATTTACTGAGAGGATGTGGGGTACATGGTTTGATAGAGAACAGGCTTGATTCTGATCCCAGCACAATTCAGCTTGAACATGGTTCCACTAAAACCGCTCAGGGCAGGGCAAGACTTTCTGATGCTATTATGAGCTGAAAAACTAGTATTTTATATGAGTAAGATACACACAATACTACTAATGTTGTCAACACAGTCTTGTGCTATAAAGAGATCTAAATCAGCCTCTTATATTTAAAACACATTTTCCTATGCTAAGTGTTCTAGAAATAGGCTTAGGTTTTGGCATATTTAATTCATATTCATTTTCATCTACAAGCATTTCAGTCAATCAGTACTGTAATCTTTAACCATACACTGAAATATACTGTCCCATACCCACTGACACAGGACAGGGATTTGCTAATGCATGAAATCAGATTAGATGAGAAGTAACTACCACTCCAAATGAAGTAAAATCTAAGACACGTAAATGACTGGCTCCGGGAACTGTTTTCCACAAATCTTGGTTTACAAAACTAAAAGATTCCAGAAAGAAAAAAAAAAAATCAGCACAAAATGTTCAAAATCTCCATATAATTCCTGAGCCTGAAAAGATTTTTCTTTCCCACTTGAAAATGACCCTTGGGTTTAGTATCAAATGCAGTGGGGCTGATCTGTCAATGCTACCGAGAGTTTTCTTGAACTGTTTGCAAGCTCTGGGCTAGAAGCGCCACAGCAGAAGTGAGCTGTGAAAATCCCCCCTTGCCCCCCTCTCCACTGAGTGCCTGGATGAAAACCCGTCCTCCCACCACCACCGAGCCGGGACCAGGCAGGACTCTGCCTGTAACTCCTACAGCACTGTGCTAACTACCCCTGTGATGGGCAGAAAAGCACATTTTTTTCTTTCTCTAGGTCTGAATTAGCTCCACAGGGAGGAGAGCACACACACCAGCAAACTCGCTTTGCTCTCCAGAGCCGCCAGCTCCCTGGAGGAGGCTTTGCCACCTGCAGACATTAATGCTCAGGGTTACACAGGGCAACTAGTATGTCTGGAAGAGAGTCCCAGCAGATCAAACACATTACCAAAGTCGATTTACCTGGGGTTGATCAGACAGTTTCATCCACTGACTGAAACACAGTGCCAGTTGCTTTAAAAAAGTAAAGATTAGACATTAACAGTGGGTCTGTTATACCTTGGGACCTGTGTTTTTAGCTCAGGGAGCCAGGACTGGTTGGTGATTAGCCTGCCCAGCTTTTGCTCAGCCAGGCATCCTCTTCTGCACATCGCACCCCTGCCCGTACCCGTACCCGCTACCTCCCCGAGCAGCAAAGGGTGCCAGCCTCCCCGCTCTCTTTACCACCCACCCGAGGGATTTCAGAACGTGTTTCCAGCCTGTTGCCCATTTCCTACCCCGCCACGGGCGAGCCCCGTTTCCCACCCGCCCCGTCGGACACCGCCGCCGCGCATCCCCCTCAGGCGGGCCGGCGGGGCAGGCGAAGAGGGACCTTACCTGGCTTTTGGGCAGGTCCACGCCGTCCCTGTAGCGTGAGAAAGGCTGGGGGAACCCTGCGGGGACACGGAGAGGGGGGAGAGGAGGACACGGCTGCGAGGGGACGCCGCAGAACCCAGCCCCGACGGCGCCCCTGGAGGGGAGACGCCCCTTTCTTTCCAAGGTTTGGGGGTTCTCCGTGGATGCGTGTCGTTCCCCCCCCTCCACCCCCGTCCCGTTTTTTTTTTTTTTTTTTTTTGGGGGGGGGGTGGGGGCGGGACGTACCTGAGCCCCGCGGGAGGGCGCAGAGGCAGCAGGCGGCGAGCAGCCAGGGCAGGGCGGGCGGCGCCGGGGGGGCCATGGCGGGGCAGCGGCGGGGCTGGCGGCCGGGGCCGCTTTTATGGAGCCGGGCCGAGCCCGGGCCGCCGCCGAGCCAATGGGCGCCGGGGCGGCCCCGCTCCCGCTGCTGGGGCTCGCCGGCCCCCCCGGGACCGAGCAACCCCCGCCCGCCCGCCCGCCCGCCGGCCGGAGGGTCCCGGGGTCCCGCCTTCGACATCGTCCCCTCCTCCTCCCTTCGGGACCCGCCGTCAAAGCTGGTTTTCTAGAAGGAGGTGGCAGAAAAGGAGGGAGGGAAGGAGGGAGGGAGGGAAAGAAGAGTCTGTGCAAGGAGAAGCGACGGAGCTGCTGGGGTTTTCACTGTAAATGGAAAAATCAGGTTTGTAGTAGGGCTTACTGAGTCTTCGGAAAACGTTCCTCCTCATGGCAGCTTGGGGAATAAAGTTTGCCTCCTAATCGGAGGGGATGTGAACTTTCATATTAAACAAGTCCCAGCCCATCTTATTATATTTACCTTCATGTGAAATAAGGAAAGTCATCTACCTCTTATTTCATTTCATAGTAGATACGTAGACAAGACAAAGATCTGCCCATGACAGAAGGACGATTCTCTATTCCTGATTTAATCACTGGGTTTGACTTCAGAAAATGCTTCCCGTTTTTTTCTGTCCTAGTTTTAAGGGCAATGCTTTGTAATCAGATCTGAGACTGAGCAAGGCAGAGTCCTCCCAACCTCTTTATATTTATAGACTTTGGGCCCACTGAAGCAAATACATATCCATCCAGCTGTCCAGCTTCTAATATATGTAGTAGAGATATTTGGGTGGCAATGGCTACACGTGGGATGTAAGCCTTAAAAAGCTGCAGAAGGGATTATTGGCACAGCAGCCCACCTCAGCTCATAATGTCCTTTAGCTGTGCGCTAAAAGGGTGACAGCAGGACTGTTCCTGGTGGGAACATCTCAGCATCTCAGAGCAGTCAGAGAGGAGATGTGCCTGCTTTCTCGCAGAGGAAAAAAAGGGACCCAGACTTCATGTGACTCTGTCAGCTTCACAACTGTGTGTCCTGAGTACGAAAAGAGGCACAGGAGCAGCTGAGCGACCCCAGCACCATTAGTTCACCCTTTGTTCCTTCCCCTGGGAGAGGCGGCCGTCTTTGCCTCATCACAGCCCTTTGGGTGCAATAATCTGAGTGGGGAGCTGTCGGGAGAGGTCAGACACTGCTACAGCAGGCACTCAGCTGTCAGCTTCTGTCAGCTTTCTTCCTCAGGCTACGCATTATCTGCCTAAATTCCCACTTCTGTCCCACACAGCCTGTTAAATAATAGCTCCTTTCAAAGTATTTACCTATGTCTGAGTTTAGGAGTATGAATTTTTTTGCAATAGCATAGGAAAAGGTGTGTGTGATCACGTTGGGTGGGTAAAATCTACCCGTCCCTGAAGTAAAATACTGGATGCTGCCTGAACCTTTCCTTCCTCCTTCTCATGCCCAATGCAGGTTCCCCTGCTTTATTGCATTCTTTCCCAGTGAGTACCCTAAATGTACCCTGGGCTTTCCTTCAACAAATTTTGCCTACAGGTTGGTCCTGTGAAGCCTGTGGAGTTACCCATTTACTTCAGGTGAGGCTTATACTTAAAGATGAGATAAAAGTTGTTATACAAGTTCCATGAAAAATTATCAGTACAACTTATTATCAAACTGAAAATACTATTTTATCAGTAACTGTGCAGTATGAGGGAACAATGGGGAAAAGTGTTTAAAACCAAAATTTCAAACAGATGAGTGTGTCATATTATTAACACATTCACCTTCCTTAAATCAGAACTTTCTTTGCTTCTATACGTTTCATTTCATAGGTATTAGCTGAAGTGCAGCTTTGCCAATGGATATATCAGCACCAAGTCACATTAATGAGCCATACTTGTACTGCACAAATGAAATTCCTGCTTTAACGTCCCAGGCTTCCTGTGTGCAGAGAGAGAAATAGGTTAAGAGTTTCAGTGCCCACAGTGATTCACAAATTAATTAAAAATGAAGCTTTGGTGGGGGGTCAATGAGAAACAAGAGAATTTTATATGGTGAGTCAAGAATCTTGGCATATATTTAGCAACAGCAATATTATGGCACCCATAATTTTAGAATAAAATATTCTGTGATCAATAAATGAAAAATAAGAAGAGAATTTGGCTTCAACAGGCATAAGAGTGAATGGCTGGCTTCCTTTTTGTAAATGATCTCTGCAATGTAATCAGCAGGTTATAGCAGATAGTGAGGACAGAGTCAGCAAAACATTGCCATCATGTTGTTTCCAAGCACATCCCAACTGGCTGCTTCTGCTTCTGCATGCCTCTCACTCTCTGCAGCTCAGCAGGGCCTGGTATAAGGCCTTATCCTGCTCTGAGGGCTTTCTATACCTAACCCAAAACCCATTTGGCAAAATGAGAAAAGCTGAAAAAATGGGAGGGTATTTATTAGGCAAACCTGCCATAAAGCCTGCAGACACTCCCAATACTCATCTTCTGTTAGATATGACGGTGCCTGTTTATGCTGAATACAAGGCTGCGTTTAATGTGGTTTTAGCTAACATTCATTTACCTTTCCAGCATGGACAAGTGGTCCAAACAACGAGAGACTGTCTCATTTTTGTTTTCATATGGGCAAGGCTCCACTCAGCACCCAGGGCTGTGGGCCCAAACTTTACTTTACCAGCAAACATCACACTTTGGTAAAATTGACATATAGTATAGGTGTTGCTTAGGTTGCCTGAATGTCAAATAAGTAGACTATAATTAATTTCATGCTTCTGTTTGTAGTTGGATTGCTATCCTTTACAGCTATAAAGCCATGGTCTTGAAAGTTGAGTAGGCCAGCAAGTAAATAAAAGTATGCCCTATCCACAGGGTAGGAGTTCAAAGACAAGAAGCTAACCCAAGAGTGTCAAAACGGGGACAGGTGCTAATGGGGAAGTTAGGGAACTAGACTAGGAATCTGAACATTTGCATTCATTTGGATAGTTTCTTGCATAAACATGATTTTATGTCTGCTGTGTTCAGCCAGACAAGTGGAAATTCCTCTGAAATGAAGCAATTTGCAGCTACCAGGTTGTACTGTTGTGGTTTGAGCCTGCTCGGCAGCCAACCACAACGCAGCCACTCACTCCCCCTTCTCTTCTGGCAATGAGGAGGGACAGATGAGCCAGGCTCGGGGTTCGAGATAGGACTGAGAGGGGAAAATCACCCATTATGGTCACAGGCCAAAGGCAGACTCATTAGGGGAAGAAAAAAAGAACATACATTAATTACAGACACTAACAACACATAACAGAGTAGGACAGTGAGAAGCATTGCCACATCTTGAGAACACCTTCCCCCCACCCCTCCCTTCTTCCCGGGCTCAGCTCTGCTCCCGATATCTCTACCTCCTCCCCCAGGGGCGCAGGGGCAGGGAATGGGGGGTGCAGTCAGTGCTGCTGCTTCTGCCATCTTCTGTGGGGGGAGCTCTTGAAACTTGTTCCCCCTGCTCCAGCGTGGTCCCCCTCTCACAGGAGACAGTCCTCCACAAACTTTCTCTGACGTGAGTCCCTCCCATGGGCCGCAGCGTTCCCCACACTGCTCTGTCATGGGTCACCAACTTTCTCCAACTGGAGTCCCTCCCACGGCTGCAGCCCTTCCCGAGCTGCTCCGGCGTGGGACTCCCCCGCATGCTGCAATCCTCCCAGCGCTGAATTACAGCAGTGGGGCTGCCTTTTCCCATGAGACCCCGGTCTTCTTCGGGCACAGAACCTTGATCAGCCGAGCAGGAACAACAGGCCACAAATCAATGTCTGCTCCACCGTAGATCTCCATGGGTGGCAGGGGGGGCCACCCTGCCGTCTCCCCACAGAATGCAGGGGGGTCTCTGCTCCAGCACACCTCCCCCCTCCTTTCTTCCTCCATTCCTCCACTGACCTTGGTGTTCACGCAGCTGCAGCAACTCCTCCTCAGCAGTCCCACTGCTCCTCACCACGTCCCTTCTTAAATACGTTATCGCAGAGGCGCAGCTGATGGGCTCAGTTTTGGTGCAGAGGTGGAGCTGACTTGGAGCTGGGGGAGCTTCGAGAAGCTTCTCACAGGGGGCCACCCTGATAGCCCCCTCCCCTGCCACCAAAAAACCCCACCACTCACTCAAACCCAGGACAACTGTATGGAAACAGTACTCTAGCAACGGGCTATATTGGGCTACAGTGGGCTGAAAGTTCATTATAATTAGTACACTTCGAGGCATTTGAAAAGATCTTCAATCTGGAACTTTCACTTGGCTTAATTTTATTTGGTGCTTCTCCAATCAGAAAGGACAGCAGTGTGTTTTCGTGCTTAGGCAACTGGTGGGATAACTCAGTCAATATCTGTGATTGAGCTTTCATCAAAGTTTTGTCCAGAATGATTTGTTCCTGGCTTCTTAGCTTATGCCCTACTAGAAATTTCCAGGCTGACACATACATCACCACCTGAACAGATCTGACTTTAACAGATGAATTATAATGGCAACACTCATTCATGTGTGCCTCCTAAATCTGAATTACTTAATTCATAGCTTTAATTTTCTTTGAGTATAGTTATATGTAAATCATCATTTTGTGTTTATAGAGGGATAACCACAGTCTGTGGTACCATGGAAACCTTACACTGATTACTAGAGTAAAGGATAAAGGCTAACATGTATACCATACGTCTTGGATTTCTGGCAAATACCCTGGTCCTAACTCTCCATTAGTACATGTGAAGAGAATATGTTAAAATAAACATTTGTCTCACCAAGAGCTGGCTGCTGAAGGAACTGATCCCAGACCATTTTTACTACCTGAGTTTTCTCAAACACCACTCACTCTAACACCACTAGCCAGAAAGGAGAAACAACAAGAGTACATTAATCCATTTCGGTATCATATGACTCACCAACCCTGTGTTGGTGATACTGCTCATTATCTGCCTGACTTTAAGACCATACACACAAAATAACCCATCTAGGAATCTGAGTGTGTAAAT